GACGTGTTTCCATTGAGCAAATTTATTTTCGAAATTCTAATTTGCGCATTTTCATGGTCAATGGAGAAACAGCTACTGACAAATCCAACTTTTCTGCACCAGGATTCAGACAAAACCACACGAGCAGCATAAATTTGACGAGAAAACTTGTAAACAACATAAAGCTGTCACACCTCAGAGGACGTCTGTCATTTACCCTCATAAAGACCTTTACTAAAACCTATTTTATGTTAACGTGCATAAACTACACWGAGAAACATTTCAAACAAGGAAGACTTATTCTGTGCCCTGCAGGTTAAATGAAGTAAACATGTAATCTTACTAATTTACTAAAGCCCTTAGTTTGTTGACTTTATAGATGGAGCTCCGTCTGTCCTTCAGTTACTCTGTTGAACCAACACCATCAGTTTCAGTAGATTGGAGCCGATGCCGGTTTGTTTTTGGAACAAAGTGACAGTTTTTATGCTTCATCTACCACTGATTGTAATAAGTACAAGGCCTGTGTGATAAATGATGCAGATGTGAAGAGGTCAACTTGTAGAAATGGTATGTTGTGACCCAGAAGACGCCAATAAAATGAAAATTTTAAACATATTTATGAAACAGAGGCAGTCAATGGAATCAGGTAAACCAGTCACACCACAGTCGGTTGAATCTAAAGCCATTTTGCACAAAAAATTAGATTTAAACAATCATAAAACATCTGCAAAATGAAATAACGTGCTTCATTCAAAGTTTTATAACAAACAGGAGCTCTGTATAGTTCCCAAAAACACATCAGCTCCTCAATTTGTTCATTACTTCCTTAAAAGCCAATACTGACATCATTGAATCAACAAATTGCTTTGCAGCCTTTCTACAAACAATAAATGTGACCCGTCACATCGAAACRAGTTTTAAGTCCAAAAGTTGTATAAGGAGAAAAAGGCAAATATAGTGTTTTGACTAAAATGTTAACAAAAATWGHDTTTTGTCAAAATATAATGAATAAAAGCCTTATCAATGTATCATTTGAATGAACTGCCTGAAATGTAATCATAAAACTAAATTATGAAACACTTTTTTGAGCAGTAGCAACCAAAAAAATGATTTAGAGGAAAAACACCTTAAAATTTTGAGATTTTCTCTGTGAGTTAGCAAAGTTTTGTTTCTTTTCAGCTGGTAAATCTCAATATTCAAATATAATTTGAGGTTTCCTCTTTATAAGGACATCAAAAATTCCTCATTAAAATGACATAAAATTAGGATTCAGACCAAATATTTATGTATTATTGTAACCAACAAGACAAATTAAGTCATATATATRGATTTAATTATGATATCAGGATGATCCAGGTATCAAAATGTAGCTTTTAAAAGACAAGAATCTGAAAATGTAATTAGGTCATTTTGACCAAATTTGACTTAATCCTCATTTCAATATGGTGGCTCACAAATGTGTTTGCTATTTTTACTTAAAATGCCTGTGACATCATTTTTTTGTAATAAATATGAATGCATTTTGGAAAGATAACATTGATAACATATTTCAAAACAAATTTCACACCACTGAGACGAATAGTTGTTAAGATAGCATGTGAAGTAACAGGAAGTGATGTCACAGGGGAATATCTGAACATAGACAGAGCACTGCTACAATAACTAACAACAGTAACCGTGTTTCCATCCAATTTTAATTCGAACTTTGAGCGAATTTTTAAAATTTCGCAAAAAAGGAAAAAAAAAAAAACGAAGAAATACAAATCAGACGTGTTTCCATCAACTGGCTTGAAGCAAATCCATTACGTCAGACGCATGCGTGTAGTAAAGAGGAAGTAAAAGTCACAAACTCGCAGGGTCTACACATCGCAGGATAATGGAGAGACGTTATTAGGAACGTGTTGCTACTATCTGGAAAGTTGTAATTATTCTGTCATTTCAACTAGTTTTGGTGAACGTAGTTGTCTGGAGACGTAGAGAAAGAAATGCRATTCTCGTCACGTTACGGGAAAAACTGAGAATACGCCGACAGCGGGAGGAGGGTCCTGCTGCCAGTCGCGGCTGCAGTCGCTCTGGTACCATTCAGACAGCGAGAACAGCTGATCAACCATGTGAGGTAAATATTCGCTACGTCAGAACTTACTCAGCAAATGTGTTTCCATCTCTCCTTTTGCGCATTAACTCTTTTTCAAAAAAAAAAACACCTCAAGCGAGCATATTAACTTTTTTACGAATTAGAGGAATGTTTTTCGAATCATGTTTCCATTCACCTTTTCTGATGCGATACTTCAAAATGTGGATTAAAAAACGCTGATGGAAACATGGCTACAAGAATCTGATGTTTCTTTACAGTATTTTGAGTCACTGCCAGAGAGCTGAAGAAGAGTCAGTTCAAAATAATATTGGCTGTGTCCAAAACTGCAGGCCGGGTCCACCGAAGGCCGAATTTGTTGGCCGCATACGTCACAGCGCCGCGACGAAGGACGTCCCAAAC